TCAACACCCAAAGAACAAATAATCCAATCAAGAAATGGGCAGAAGACATGAACAGATATTTCTGCAAGGAAGATATACAAATGGCCAACAGACACATCAAAATAATGCTCAACATCACTCGGCATCAGGGAAATACAAATCAAAACCACAATGAGATACCACCCCACACGAGTCAGAATGGCTAAAATTAACAAGTCAGGAAATGACAGAAGTTGGTGAGGATGTGGAGAAAGGGGAAGGAACCCTTTTACACTGTTGGTGGGAATGCAAGCTGGTGCAGCCACTCTGGAAAACAGTATGGAGGTTCTTCAAAAAGTTGAAAATAGAGCTACCCTACGACCCAGCAATTACACTACTAGGTATTTATCCAAACTATACAAACATAGTGATTCGAAGGGGCACCTGCACCCCAATGTTTATAGCAGCAATGTCCACAATAGCCAAACTATAGAAAGAGCCCATCAACAGATGAATGGATAAAAAAGATGTAGTGTATATATATAAAGGAATATTACTCAGCCATCAAAAAATGAAATCTTGCCATTTGCAATGACGTGGACGGAACTAGAGGGTATTATGCTAAGCAAAATAATTCAATCAGAGAGAGATATTTATTGTATGATCTCACTCATATGTGGAATTTAAGAAACAAAACAGAGGATCATACAGGAAAAAATAAAACAAGACAAAACCAGAGAGGGAGACAAACCATAAGAGACTCTTAATCATAGGATACAAACTGAGGGTTGCTGGGGGTGGGGGTGGGGAGATGGGGTAATTGGGTGATGGACATTAAGGAGGGCATGTGATGTAATGAGCACTGGGTATTATATAAGACTGATGGATCACTGACCTCTACATCTGAAACTAATAATGCATTATGTGTTAATTAATTGAATTTAAATAAAATAAAATTTACAGCCCAAAATAAGTAAGTGTCAGCAGAAAAAAATTTAAAAAGGGGTAATGATAATATAAAGGTGATCAGTACTGTTGTGATTATTTATTTTTTAGAGATTTTATTTATTTATCAGAGAGAGAGTGCACAAGCAGAGGGGAGGGGCAGAGGGAAATCCGACTCCCTGCTGGGCAGGGAGCAGGGTCCCAGGACCCTGGGATCATGACCTGAGCTGAAGGGAGATGCTTACCCGGCTGAGCCACCCAGGCGTCCCCATTGCGATTATTTAAAAACAATTACATTGTTCAGCCATTCAAAGAAAGGCTGAAGGAACCAGATTTGAAAAAGGCAGTAACACTACACTTTGTAGTACAAGTTCATGGCCTTTTTCAGGAGCAGGTTTGTGAAAGTAAGTTCCTAAGATTTGGAAGGAGACCCAAACAGCATCTAAACTATAGATGTTTCTCACTAAGTTAAGATTCAGGAGGTAGGTACCACCAGGGGACGGTGTCGGTGCTCCCAAGGAAATCAGGTGAGGACCAAGTACTTTCAAGAACTCTGGGGGACTTTCCAGTCACACTTGGCTGAAGACATATTGCACTGACAAAGATGAATCGTCATCCCAAATAGGCAAAAACTAAGAAATTTTAAAGAGACATATGCGATTCTCCCATAAAAATCTTTTATTGGCACACCAGAAATATCCATTTTTCTAGTACAGTAGCTGTATGCATCTACAATGGCAATTCTGTGTAAACTATGTGTTACAAGTCACTAGAAATCTACTTAGCAGGATGAATTTAATAAAGAACAAGAGTAACTATGAGTCTACAGCGGCCCAGCCATCGAGTCTCATTGGAGAGCAAATCAAATATCAAACTAGTGTTGCCCTGCAACAGTTTTTCTGTAGCCAAGAAACCAAGATGGACATAAACAGGATAGCACCCATTCAATAAATTAGGTACATGTAACTAGAAAAACACTGTAACCGATAGAGATGAGCTGAATAAAGCACAAAAGGAAATAATTAGCTATTTACATATATTACTTTTTGCCAAAATTTTAGTTAGTTAGCTTTCCCATCCTACCACTTCTCTTTTATCTGTTACTCTTGTTTTTTCATGCGGAATTTCTTGGCTCACTGGCAAGTATTTAGACAACTAATCAGAACCTTTTTTTCCATGTTCTACATTTTCTAAAACTTCATGTCAAACTAAAGAATCTGAAGGGTAACTGTGTAAGTCTATCTCTATAGAGAAGTAATAAGAATTATCGTTCTGCTGTCAGTCACAGCAATGACATACAATTTCATTTTCTTCCAAACATTATTTGAACTACTCCAGAAAGTTAGGTTGTGAATGGCAGCAGAGTGGATGGATTTGTCATTTGTAACAGGCACAGATATACATGGAGACAAGTGAGTTTATCCTGAGAATGGGGATGCCGTGGACTGCAAATTAAGATCCCCCATTACTGAAAATGAGTTCTCTCTCTGGTCACTATTTTTTTTTTCCACATTCATATTTAAGGCTTAGTGTCGTTGCAGCATTAACAAATAAGAATGCTGACATCATTTCTGCCAAAGGAGGGCTCTGTGATGAATGGCAGCAGGTACCATAATTAAAATAGCATAGCTGAAAAGGCATTGAGTTGGTATGTTTCTGGTGCCATGGCCAGAGTTGGTAGATTTTTAGCATCATTCTTGGGGAACTGAGAGATCTTGCCAATGAGCCTCTTTGCCCCTTGTTTATATACTTTGTAGTACTTATAATAATTTGTAATTGTCTTATTTTTGGTTTGCTCTCCTATGAGAACGTAAGCTCCAGAAGGGCGGTAAGCACACCTGTTTGTTCACACTGTGTCTCCAGTGTCTAGAACAGTGCCTGGTCCATAGTAGGTTCTCAGTTAAAAACTTGTGTTAAATGAATGAACAAAATCATAAACCCCCTGGTCTGCCTCTGTCTAGAGACTTTCTAGTTTGATTCAATGACCCAGCTCTCCTAATGATCCTGCCTGCGGTGAACCTTTGTGTAGCCATTTGGCTATTATTTTTGTGCGTCAATGGATAGTAAAACTTCTCGATGCTGCATTCACTCTGCCCACCTCACAAAGATTAGCTATGCAGGGCTAACACTGCACGAGAGGTAACAGCAAGAACCTTCTAGGAGGTAAACTGCAAGCTCTGAATTCAACTACTTCTTCCCCACCTCTCTCTACGACCTCTTTGTCAGAAAGCTTAAGAAAAAGGTTATCAGGAGAAGATTCTCTTGGCAGTAACAGTTCAGTAAGTCACTAATAACATGATCAGAAAAGAAACAAAATATAACTCATCTACATAAAAAAACTTATGTAAAATAAAAGCAAAATCTGGGAGTGGAAACTAAGTGACAGGGTGGGCGGTCTAGGTCCTTTGTTGGTTAGAGTTGCTGGACTGGACGCAGAAGTGAACGCAGGCATCAGAACAGGAGAGAGGCTGGAAAGGAAGGGGCGGAGCAGCGCTGTGGGGTGTGAGCACGTGGGGACCAGCTTTTCTCTCCTCCTCCCCCTCTGCTTCCAGCTCTCCGGCATCCCACCACATGCTGGCAGAGCTCCTGCTCTCGCTCTCTCAGGCGGAGGTAAGGATGGAGGTAAGGACGGGCAGCTGGCGCCTCCACAGCCCATCCTTAGGCTATTGATGCTCTGCTGGAGTAGAAGTCAGGGACCGGGAGCCCGGTGTGAAGCGTGACCTGGGGGACGAGACTGTGAGTCCTGGAGGCACCGTGGGAACCCTCCCTGCATCTGCCCCTCCCCGGGGGCACAGTGGGTGTGCTCCTGATTCAGCAGGGGACCTGTTACCTTTCTTTAACGTCTATTCTAGTAGATGTTAAAGAAGAATTCTTGTAGAATTCTGCCTGTGCTAAGAGCCTGGGCACCGTGGGGGCTTCCCAAATCTTGATAATATGGTTCTTATCCACCTGCCTCTTTTAAGGATCCTGGGAAGGCTGTGTTCCTTCTGACTGAAGACACAGGCATTGATCTGCAGGTGGCAGAGCCTGTTGGTGAGGGCGCAGTGACAATGCCAAATCCATGGATAGAGAACCGGTGAGCGGAGAACCCTTCTCTTACCACGTGTCCACTACTAGTTACTCCGATTAGGATGACGCTTCCGTTTGGGGAATGAATAGACGATTGCCAAGTATAAGAAACACGGGCAGGGGTACTGTTTCCCGGTTCCTGTGCAGCCTCGCACCTCGGTGGACAGTTGCATGGATGAGGCCGGAAGTGTCTCATGCTCTACTGTCCTTCCCCTTCTCGTCCCTGTCTCCCCAGCCCCAGAGTCTTTCTCTAAGGATACTCAGAACATCCTGGAAACCACTGAAGACCATCGAGGACAATATTCTTTGGAAGGGGAAACAGCTGAAAATGGGGAAGACTTTGAAGGAGGTTTTTCTAAGACTCACGTCTATGACAATTTATGGGTTCCTTTCTTCCAATGAAGAGGCTGAACTCTGAGAGATTAGATTTCAGCCTCCCAGAAAACCCCATCTAGTCGCAGGAAGAGAGAAGGGCAGAGGTCACTGGGTTGCAATCACTTTTACTGCACATGCTGATAAACAACAATGGTTTTCTTTTTTTTTTTTTTTATAGCTCCCAAGACTATGGTTCTGAACAGAAGAAAAAACACCTGCAGTGTTATGATTCCCACGGCCTGCAGCTGTCTGCCGAATGGTGCGCGGCTGATGAGAGCTCCAGCAGAGAAGGGCAGGGAGAGACCAGCCTAGCAGTGCCCCGCAGGGCGCCCCGCGGCTCTGGTCTTCGCCCCAGCCAGGGCCCCTTGGCCCCGCCTTGCTCCCCTGAGGCCCCTCACGCCTTAGAAACTTTGTGCTGGTTGGTCCCTCTGCCTGGAAAGCTCCACACAGCTCACTGCCTCCAGGGCCCAGCTCACCTGGGACGGTAATAAGGCCCACCCACACGGAGCGCCCTGGCTGAGATGACTGCTGCCCTCCC